TTTATCAACCACACGGAATTTCGTCCCAGTCCGCTGCGCGAAGATCGCCGCCGTGTATCCGCGCGAAAATCTGCATGATAAAGCACGTTAATTTCTTCCCGCACCGACGCGAGAATTAAAGTCGCGCCGGCACCGCGTCACGATGGGGAAAAAAAAGAAATAACTTGGACGGCGGAAAAAGGAAGGAAGAAATTTATATCGCACGTGTATGGATTTTTGATATCGTCGCTTTGCGGTTTTACGCCGTCCCGTCTCGGCGCACGTGTCGCCCCCGAGCCTTTGATCCGCCAAAAGATCTCGTCATTACGGCGATTTTAATTAAGTCGGTCGTGTTGGCATTTTTTCTTTCTTTTTAAGACCTGACCGTTTTAATATTTAAACGAGCTCCGTGCAGGTGCTTGCGCGCGTGTGTGCGCTATTAACATCATGTTCTCGTGTGCCGCTTAAACACTTAACGATAAATATCGTCGCGTCTGTTATCCCCGAGAAAGCGAGGAAGCCCGAAGTGCTTTCTATTGTTTAGCGTTCATCTCGAAGTACGTATCGCGCGAAGCCCTTTTCCTCCGGCGTAAGGTGAAAATTTCCGAACTCGAGAATACTTGGAAGTTTTCACTCTTCATGAGTTTACGCCGGAGAAAAAGACTCATGATCGACCCCTTGTATCTCAGCCAGAGGATCTGCACATTTCGCTTGAGTGTTAAAACTGATGAGCACCCCATCTGAAGTGAATATAAATAAAATATATTATAAATAAAAAAAAAAAAAGAAACAATACCGTCCATTTCTCGATATGTCTCCCGGTAATGCCTTATCCATTTCGCGCAGCTGCGCCTTCACTCAAAGTGGCTTTCGGGTCAAGTTCCAATTAAAGCGATCGATGATTAACCGGCAGAGTCGCCGATAATAATTTCCTCTTGCGCGATGCGTCCTCTGATAATAAGCAAAACGTTGATGATATCATTAATAAAATGTTGATAGTATCGGCTATAATAAAACGCGAGAATTTTCTCATACATTTTACCGGAGCCAAGCTCCGGTAAAGTTTTCCACGCCGTTGCACAGTGGGGCCAGATGACATTCTTTGGTTCAAAATTCTCTAGAGGCCTGAATTTTCAACCGATCATCGACGCCAATGGGTGAGGTTGTTCCTGAATAAATTCCGAAGAGATCTGTCTTGCCAAAATTGAAAAAAACATTTCCTTCTCGGATTACTAGCCCCAAAAGAGAAAAATTATCGTTAAACGCGAGAAACTTGTGAAATACTCATTATTCGACACTTATTTCTATCTAATAGCGTATTCAACGGATTGAAACTATGAAACCAATCAACAGACACCTCGAAATTTATCGATCTTGAACCAGAAACTCATTAAACCAAAACTCATATGCCCAAAATATAAAAATATCAAATATAGACCCGTTAAGCACAAAACCGAAGGATTTTGACTCTTAAGCCCATCAATCTAGGAATCAATCCGAGAACTTTTTAGCTCGTGGATGCATGAAGCCGTATACAAGGTGTCCCATTTTAACTTTTAATAATTTTGGAATTTTCAAAGATCGATAAGTCAACAAAAGTTAGGGCACTATTATAGTAATATATTCTTGATAGTAAATAAAGTAAAAACGTTTAATACTATTTTTTCTTTCGACGAATAGTTAACGAGATATCGTAAGTTAAATGTTGAAAAAGTTACCAAGTTTTCCTGAAATATTTCAAAAAATATTAGGCAAATAAAAAAATGTTTCAGACGAAAGTTGTTAAAATTAATTGGTAAAAAAAGGAGATATAATAAAAAATTGGGCTTTCTATTTAAAAAAATTAAATTGACCTTCAACTGACCTTGAAAATGCCCTCCAAATAAAAAACTGATAAAGCCATTCTCTTTCCCCTTCGAAATCATGAAAAACGTGTTTTAGCGTTTTTTAATATCTTTCATAGTTTTCGAGATTTTTTAATGCGAAAGTTAAAATGGGACACCCTGTATATTAAGAGCCCCAAATAATCCAAAGAACGCAATGTAGCCATAGCTCGAGAACCTAATAATACTCGACGTTGAATATTCAGTTATAAAACATCAAGTCCGAGCCTAGAAATGCTGAATGCCAATGTTCTCCATGTTTTTACTTATTGGATCCATGGTTTAATTCTTTCTTAATGTGGGCCAAAATGATGAGCTTTGAAATTCTGAGTTTTCTAAAAGGTGATTATAAGTTCTGGGGTCTCGCATTTAATATCCATAGGCTCGAACCCATTGAGGTCGAACCCAAGACACTGTACTTTAAACGATAAACTTTTCAGACAAACCCTAAACCCATGAACCTATGAACCCTGGACCGATAATTTCTTCAAAATTTCGGCTAGACAGATCTCTTTGGAATTTAGGATCAGGATCAACCCCTCATCCATTGGTGTCGATGATCGGTTGGAAATTCAGGTCTCTAGAGAATTTTGAAGCAAAAAATGGCGACTCCGGTCGAGTCAATCGTCGGTCGGCTTAATCAGGATTTGGAGGAAGTCACCCTGTCACAGAAGCCTCCCACGGGCACGGACCTTTGCACGGACGCGCGCGCACACGCAGGTGTTCTCGTCTGTCGAGAAAGGGACCTGTATAAATTTGCATAACGGCATAAGTACGGTATATGAACACGCCGCCCGGCGAATGAAACGCCCAACATAAACAGCCGACACGGCCGTCGTCGTCGTCGCGCTCGCCGGCCCTCACGGGCTGTTCCGCCGATCGTGACCGCTCTCGGATCGTTATGCAGATTTGAGATCGCGAGAGAGAGAGAGAGAGAGAGAGAGAGAGAGAGAGAGAGAGAGAGAGAGAGAGAGAGAGAGAGAGACCCCGCATGCACTTCGTGCGTGAACGCGCGGCAGACGGAAAAAAGGACGGAGCGCGGAGATTTCGGTGTTTTGGCTCGATGGGCGGAACCGCGTGGATTCTGCTCGCGCTGCTCCAAGTATCGACCCGTCAAAGGCAGCCTCCAGCGACCTCGCCCCTAACTGCCATCTACCCTTTCGTCACAACGTTGAAACTCGAACTTGGCGTCTCCGGCTCTTTTCCTCTCTTACGTTCTGGAGAACCTTCCTCGCGATGAGCACGTTTGCTTGTGCTCCGTACACTACGTCCGTTATGCGAGCTCCCCGGCTAATTTCCAAAGGGCTCTCCGTTTCAAAAAGCCACCGTTCGATCCTCCCCCGGGAGATACGGACGGCAGAGAACGGCCAAGGCAACCTGTCAGGCGGAGAGATTGCGCGACCCGGAGAAGACATTTCGTGAAACTGCCCCGCGCAAAATCCCGATCCCGTATTTTTTCACACAAAGCGTGCACGCGATTTTGCACGCGAATGGTGGAGAGGATGAACTCGCTTCTACGCGCAAAGCAGGACATTTTTCGCAACGGCCAAGCAAGCTGTCTGTATTTTAATTAAAAGGCAACTTTGTCGACAGTTGAGCTGACGCGACGCGAGTCACGTGGAAATTGTTAAAACGCATCAACATCCCATTTTTGTTTCTGCACGGTGCAGTGTGTGAAAGCAGCCGGCGGCTCGTGCGTGTAACGAACGCGGACACCGATGTGAAAATATTGATGCGATTCTCGTCATCGCAGCGTCAAAGGCGAAGGTGGGTGAAATTAAGCGCGGGGCGAGGCGGGGTCTAATTAATGTTACATATCGGCGGCAATGCGAGAGCATCGTGTACACATCGGACGCACATACACGCCCGAGATGAGTATGAAAGCATCGGTGTGTGAAGCGTTAATTAATATGTAACCCTGCCAGCGTACGCGTGCACGCACGTTTCGTGTGTGCCTGGAAAATAAATATCGGCGCCGCGCGATCGCGTCAATAGGAAACGCGTGATCAGCAGATTGGATCGGCAAGGCGAGATTACGGAGGAAGGACCTTTCATCGATTGACACTGAAACTACCGGCGATCGGCGCGACCTTATTTCCACCGGAGCAATCGAAATGACAAAGTTTTAGAAAAATAGCCGGGCAGGAAAGTTTATTTATTTATTTATTCATTTTAGTTTTGTTCAGTGTCCGTCAAAGATATGAGATGCGTCGTTAAATAAATTCAAGTGATTTCTGCAAGAAATTACCGGTCACTTTGTGCGCTTCGATAATTCTAGTATAAATCTCTTTATCAATCAACAATACCGTGCTTTTAATTGATCCACCATATTAAAAAAGAATTGACGTCTACGTTGTCCAAAATATTTTATGTCAGCTCGTCGATCGACGAATGGACGAAATTGACCAGATTTATTCGAACCAAACACTTGTGTTTTATTATGGAATTGTTTTTCTCTTTTTATATCTTTTGTTTTTAATTGAAATTATAAAAACGTGATAATCTCCAGAATGCATGTTTTATCACACAACGCGAGTCGAGAATTAAAGAACGTTCCCTTCGTGCAGTTTAATAAATATATAACCGAAAGTAATTTCGCGGAATGGGAAGATCTTGGAGAGAGAATTTAATTTTCTGTATTTTCGCGAGACTTTATTTTTCTCGTCCACGTCTTTTCGTCATATTCTCTGCAAATTTTCCCTTCTTTCGATATTTTTGTTTGACGGTATCACTGCCGGCTCACTATACTTACGATGCGCGCGGTGGTATGACGAATTCTTGTTGTTTCAATGTAATAAACACGACGATAACCAGATACGAAAACAAGTCAAACATATTTACGCAACGATTTACGATATCTATAGTGCATGCAATCGAGCCATTCGCGGAAATACTCTGTGAAAATAATTTTAACAGAATTTTCCATTCGAAGAAAATCTGTCGGAAATTCCTCCGATGCGTTATCTCTGTTTATTTCTTTTTCTTTTTCGTTCGTAGTGGGAGATGTGCGAACGCGTTGCCAAACACTTAATTAAAAATCTATACGACCGTTTAGCGTGTAACACGCTCGGATTCAATAAACCCAGCATGCGCCGCACCGAGGCTGTTGAAACTCTATGCTTTGATTTTCTGTTTCAGGAATTTAACATTGCAAAGGAGCAGCATGCCGTGCAGCCGTCGACATCTGAATCGGGTAACTATAAATTGTTTTCATATAGGACCGTCCCCGCAAACGCTAGTTGAAGTTACACGTAATATGTATAAAGGGAGAGATAGATAGAGAGAGAGAGAGAGAGAGAGAGAGAGAGAGAGAGAGAGAGAGAGAGAGAGAGAGAGAGAGAGAGAGAGAGAGAGAGAAAGAGGTGGAGAGATTCTCCCTTCAAGGTAGTTTCTGCGAAATTACATCCAGTTAACTTTAATTAATGCCTACGGGAATGCTGCCTATGGGTACGCGTATACATTAGTTTCGCTTCCGTGAAAATTGCACATACATACAAACAATTTGAAATCAAAGATCGCCTCTGAAATTGTTTCCCACAATCGTCGCTGAGTTTCAAAATGGTATCATTTGTTACCGGTCACACACAAAGGACTCCTCTTTGAGGTGTCGATTCACGCCTCGCTCGCCGTCGCTTATCCTCTCCCCGGAATTAGATTACGAGGAAATTTACGAGCTATCATTGCGCGCGACTGAAAGACTCTTTCTCAGAAAGTCTATCCGGCCGTTATTAGCATGATAATTTGTCATCTCATCTAATTTCACACGTAATCCCTTTTCCGCTTGGAGGGTTGCCTCATCAAAGTCGCAGTTACCCTGGCGGCGGTAGCGGCGGAAGTGGCGGTCGAACATTGGCGAGAAACTCATCTGTCAGCTCTCAAAGCTCACTGGAGGGTGCATCCTGCTCCTCGAGTCATCGCGGATCATCGCCTCAAATCAGGGCGTTCGGTCCAGACGGACGACATCATGTTCGACACGATCCCTTACACGCCGCCTCTTCGTATCCACCCAGCAGGAACTCGAGGTTGATGGAAAAAAATATGTGACGCATGTATTCATTGTTCGCCTTTACGTAATATATACGGAGTAAACAAGCGGGAGAAATCACAATGTGCTGAAAAGAGGGTGATTTTATTCGGAAAAAGAGAATCCGGCTGGGCAAAATGTCGAATGAATTTCCCTTGCGGCAGACTCTGAGAGAATCAGCTTTGAAGGTCGAAAATTGGTAATATATTCTTTTCCTGTAATATATTCTGTTTCCTTTATTTATTTATTTTTTTTTTATTTAAATAATGTCGAACGATTTTGTGTGAAACTTGTCTCTCGAGAGCGGCACACGGAAGTACGATGAAAAATATTGCTCGCGGAAATTAACAAATTGATCGATGATTCGAGATGTGAACACATGACGGGTGTATATTTATAATAGTGCTCGTTGCCCCACATTTTCAAAGCCCTCTTGATTGATTTAAACAACACAGTAATCATTTATTCTCTTAATTGCAAAAGCTCCGTCCCGGTGGATTGCACCTATCTTCGCTCGTGAAATTTAAGATCTTTGTGAAGTCGATTATTTTCTTTTTTCTCACAATCTCTAAAATATGCGCTTTGTTGAATCAGTTCCACAGATTGCGCAGATTGGGGTTTGCTTTGTTTAAAATTAAACCGGGCGATTTACCGTGGCCAGGCTTACAATTGCGTATAATTAATTAATCATTCGTGTCTACATACTGTGCAATAATAACACATTAAGTTGAACGTCTGTTTGTTTGATCTCGGGACGATCCTTGTTCGTGTCATTTTCGTTTGTGTAACTTTTCAAGTAAATACATTTACGTAAGATGTAATCTTTTCGCGTAAGTCTCCAAATGGGGAAGTAATGCGCGATCGATCTCGTTCAATACATAAACTCTTGAATTCCTCTCTTCTCTTGTGCGTGGACTTGCAGCTTCGGAACTTGCCACAGGTCTCCCTCACCAGCTAGGGCGGCGTCCTTGGATGCACGTTGTGGAAGTCCTGCCAGTTACTCGAGCAGCCTGCATAGTGGAAATGCGTCGCCTTCGCAGACCTCTTTGTCATCAGTAGCAACGGGCGTGAGCTCTACGTGCGTATGTTCGCCAATAAATGCCGTTCAAGGCACTTCGAGACAAGCCAGTCGTTGCTTGTCGCCTCTTCTCATCCCGCCGCCACGTGCTTCCATAAGGTAAATATCAATAACATACTCACATAAAAGTCAATAATAAACTTCTCGTAAGCGTGGCAGAATTATTAAAATTCTCATAAACGTATTTAATATTCTCGCGAAGGTAAATAATAAAATTTAAATGAATTGAAATGAATAAAAATGTTAAAATTTTCGAAAACGTACAAACATTGTTGTCGCGCTCTCAGATGCTATTATTAATAAACCAATATTAAATCCCAAAATATTTATCTGTTGCAATTATGAGACCAATTCGAGCGTGTTCCTCGCGGAGATTCTTCGAATTATTCACTCGCCGAATTATTGGGTTGTTCGGAAAGTAATTTCAGTTTTTGCAAATAGATGGTGTTAATTACTTTCTTAAGCAGTTTTAACCTCATTTTAAACCAGAAAATTATTTTACGTTTTTACCACGCACATTTCGAGCTTCATTTGCAAGAAAGTTGTTTTGGAATCTGTCAAGCTGTTTTTGTTTGGCGTCATACCACAAATAGAAAATAGAAAAATAGAAAAACAACGTGAGCATTTTCGTCATATTTTGCTTTTTTATTCCGTAAAGGCAAAATGCAGCGCAAGCAAAAAAAAACGGTGTGCCGTGGAGAGGATGTGTCGACCGAACACGTGTCAGAATTGGTTTTCAAAATTTTGTTCTGGAAATTTCGATCTCAAAAGGTGCACCATGTTCTGAAAGGCCAATTGAGTCTGATGAAGGCCAAATAAAGACATTGGTGCACGCAAATTGTCATTTAACAACACGAGAAGTTGTTGAGAGATTGAATTTATCGAATTCGATCGTGCACGAGCATCTGAAACAACTTGGTTTCGTTTCAAAGTTCGATATTTGGGTTTCACATGTTCTCATAGAAAGCGATTTAACTCGTCGCATTATCATCTGCGGTTTGCTGTTGAAGCAGCAAGTGAGGAAAGCGATGCATTTCTGAAACGACTCATAACTGGAATGGAGATGAAAAATAAATTGTGTACAACAGTATTAAACGCAAAAGATCATGCAAACATGATGAACCAGCTCAAAACACATCGAAAGCTGATATCCATCAAAAGAAGGTGATGCTCTCTGTTTGGTGGGATTGTAAAGGAATGGTTTTTTTGAGCTGCTACCAAACAAGCAAACGATTGATTCGAATGTATATTGTCATCAATTGGACAAATTGAATGATTCCATCGAGCAGAAAAGAGTAGAATTAGCGAACAGAAAAGGTATTGTGTTTCATCATGACAACGCCAGACCTCACACAAGTTTAATGACTCGTCAGAAGTTGTTAGCGCTTGGATGGGATTTGCTACCGCATCCACCATATTCACCTGATCTGGCACCATCCGATTATCACACTTGTTTCGGTCATTGCAAAATTCTTTGGATGATAAAAATTTCGATTCAAATGAAGGTGTCAAAAAAACCACTTAATTCAGTTTTCAGCCAATAAGGAACAGAAGTTGTACGAGCGTGGCGTCATATTATTACCTCAAAGATGGCAAAAGGGGTTGGAACAAAATGGGGTCAATACTTAACGGAATAAAACTTTTCTTTCTATTAAAAATACGGTCTTTCATTTTTATATGCAAAAAGTCGAAATTACTTTCCGAACAACCCAATATTTAAATTTTTTATTGCGTTTTCATCGTCGGGACGTGCTGTTTTTCAAAGAAATCTTGGTGTTTCCCTCGACAGCAGCAATGGTGGCCCCATACCACCCGCTTCTCCGCTTGGTTCCCTACAACCGGATCTCTACCAAAAACAAGACAGCAAAGTCTTTCTCAGCGCCCGCAGGTACTTGATAAAACTTGACTGACTGAAACCGCGGACCTGAAATTATTATCCCTCTTTTGCTAGAGAAAGGGAAAACGCATGATTGGCGATAAAAGTAACGGAGATAATGATCGTATGATGCTCGCAGGACAGGGAAACACTTGGGCGAGCTTCACCTGCGCTTGAAATACGACTTCGACAGATCGGACCTGCATGTGCACTTGATCGAGGCGAAAGATCTCGCTGGTAGCGACCAGGGCGGCTTCAACGATCCCTACGTGAAGTTGACCCTCAGCCCGGAAGTGGACACCAGGAAGAGGCAGACGCAGATCCACCGGAACAATCCGAATCCGAGTTTCAATCAGCACTTCAAGTTCCCCGTTAGCTACGAAGAGCTGCAGGAGAAGACCTTGGTTTTGCAGGTAATTCTGTCATGCTGTTATCGGATCGCGCGCGATTGTTCGAAGCCTGAGATAACATTTCATATTACAACGCGCTAGGTGTTCGATTACGATCGTTTCTCGAGAAACGACGTGGTGGGCTCGCTGAGAATGGCGATGGACAGCCTCGATCCAGTCTCTTCCACTTCCTGGACGGACGTCTGGGGAGAAATAGCGAGGGAGCGCAAACCGCCGGAAGAAATCCAAGAAATTTTGGTCTCCTTGTCCTACTTACCAAGCGCCGAGAGGCTCACCGTGCTCATGATGAAAGCCAGAAATCTGTTTCCTCAGCAGGTAGGCTAATTCAATAACAGCATTTAAACTTTAGTCTGCAAACACAATATTCCGCTCTTCATTTGTGATAGTTATCATAAGCAACCTCAGTGTTATTTAATTAACATTGATGCAGGACAAGGAGAGCTTAGATCCGTTCGCGAAGGTTAGCCTCCTCTGCGGCGAGAGAAGAATCAAGAAGAAAAAGAAGACAGCCGTTAGAAGGGCAACGATGAATCCCGTCTGGAACGAAGCGATGTCATTTAATATACCCGCTTCGTCGCTTGCATCGTCGGCTATAGAGGTATGATTGTTCCTCGATATTAACAGTAAATTCAATTACTATTGAGAATATCAACCCATCAAGAACCCAAGAAAGTAAGTTCTTTTGACTTCAGCGAGTTAAATTAAATTCCGCACTCTGACGAAAAAGAGAAAAAAAGGGAGTTTTAATTGTTAGATTTACGTTTGGTAGATTTTTCCACTGCACGTGATTACTCTTAATCAAATGTAGAGTATCATATGCTCGCACTCGATGCTTTGACCTTTGAAGGTTCAAATTTATCGCTGTGTATATTTCCTGCGAATCCTGTCCCGTGTGAAAGGTAACGAATTGAAACGATCACAGAAGGCAAGATTATTTTGTAACAGACACTCGTTAGAATTTTTGACAGAGACATAATACCGGCAGGCGTTGCATAAGAACGAAAAATGAATAATTACGTTTGTGCAAGGTGCGTGTACTGGATTCGAGCAGCGAACTGATGGGCGGAAACGCCGTGATTGGATCATGCATCATCGGACCCGCGACAGGCGACAACAGTAATAATCAAGGACGAGAACATTGGCTCCAAATGACGCTGTCGCCGAGGAAGCAAATCGCGGAATGGCACACACTACATTAGCTCGATCATCACGATCGAGTTTCTGATCGACGTTTCTGATTTAACGCGGAGTACTTGGCGTTCTCGCTCGAAGAGCGAGGACGAAATACAATCCTATCGTAAACGAATAGGTGGACGACCATATATACATAACGAGACATGTAGCGGTATTACATGTAAAAGCGAGAAAGAATATGTTCCCTAAAAGGAAAAGAAAAAGAAACAGGCGAAGAGAAGATAAGGAGAAGCGTCCCACTGAGAAAAACTGTTCTCTCTCTTCTGCACTTTTATAGGTATATCAATGGTCATTAAAAAGGACGTCCGTCCGGACGCATATCGTCCGGAATGCCAATGTGCGAGAGTAAAAGAAAAAAGAAAAATAGAAAAAACAAAGATACGGTCGTATGTCGTGTGAATATTCTTCGTGTGCCCACGCAAGTAAACAGAACACAGAGCACTCACGTTTTCGTTTATTGCACGGTACTTAACACTGCTCGTAACTCCGAATGTATATTTCTTAAGTTTTTGGATACTTGAAAGATTTTAGAGATGTATTTTTGAGACGACTGACGCACACACCTGACGCAGCAAGCTCCACGAGCATTATCACGAGGGAAACGTGATCTCAATCTGCGGAGCAAAAGAAGAGACCGATCTCGCGTTTCGCTTGATACAGATCAATAATTAAACGTACAAAGTAATATTTTAAGGCGAGACAGGTGCATTCCAAGGAGACGGATTACTGAGTAAATTCTAAATACGTTGATCGAATCTGTCACTTCAGGTGACGTGAACTATTTTCTCTCAGGTTTATAAGATTGCCCCCTTATTTCTCTTATAATTGTACAATCTCTATGAGAAACAGAGAGAAAAACCGAAGAGGAGAAAAGAAAAGAAAAAGGGGAATAGGCATGTTACTACATGTGTCGTCGAACGCTTAAGTCCGTCTTTGTGTGACAAATGTGGCCTGGAAGAGTTCAAAGTGTGCTATGTATATATAGCTTGCAAGTTAATGGAAGGCCTAATGTTACTCCCTGCGAACGAATATGCTAATCGAGTATTGACTGTTATTTATCGCCATACTGTCGAGTGTATAATTTCATACACTAAGAAAAATCCGGAGCATAATGTGTGAATGTAACGAAATCGAGCATCGAGGTACGTCGTCTTTGCTCGTTTATCCGCTCTTGCACGATCATAACTTATTTGTCGCGCATTGATCTTTGTCGAACACGATTAATGATATCTAACGATATAAATATTCAACGATATTTATATTTAGGGTATAATTCAGAGATACTTCGACATGCTAATAAAAAAAATAGCTCCAAAATATAACTAGTTCTTTCAATACTTTCAAGTTTCGTCGATTCAGATAAATACTTTTGACCTTCTATATTAAACAGTTAAATGTTTATGTTATGTTAAATTACGCAATACAGATATATAGATGCAACGTTAATCTATAATTGTAAAAGTAAATTAGTTCCTTTTTATCAAATTGAGAGAAATCTGAACACTTGTTTGAGACTTCGTGTGAAACTGAGTAGTAAAATATTTTCAGATATATAACTATTATATTGATACAAAAATATTATCATAGATTATGTTATTTAAATACAATTGTTTTTAGCTCACAATAATTAAAAATATCACAATAATTATATCGATGATAAAAATGTCGAGGTCTTCTTCTACATGTCAAAATGTTTCTAAATTATCCTAATTTCTTGTCATTATTTTGTCATTAATATTTACACAAATTGAGAATTATATATAAATGTGAAACTGTATCCGACCAAAATCCATCATGTCATACTAATGAATTACAATTTGCAAGTCCATTTTTACTTCATTTAAATATCAAAATAACAAGCCTGTCGGCTTTGAAACATCTAGTCGTGCATACATTGTACAGTATTACGTTTTAAATGTTTTCGATTCATCAGCCGAAATTGCAATGTCGTAATCCTTGTTGAAAAAAAAGAATTAAATGTTAATAAACATTAAAAGTATATATGAAATATAAATATTATATAATAAAAATATATAAGTATAAATAAATATATATATATATACATAAAATATAAAGAGAAAATCTAAAGATCTATAGATGAAAAGAAACGCTTCACACATGGAAGCGTAATCTCTGAATCGTACGCTTAACTTATACGTATTTACGGTATTTCTATTATTCTATATACCACGAAAAATATGATAAAGTTAAAAACGTTGAATACAGGCTGCAACCGCAAAAGTGAGCATTAGTAATAGGGAGATGTATGCTTTAAAAACTTCGACAAATTTGAAGTCAAGTTTTTATAGCAACATAAGGAATGTGAAAAATAAATTTCGTAATTAAAGGAAATTATTATTTTCGGATAAATAAAAGATGCACGAAAAATAAAGTTCAACATCTTGTTTCTTCATTGACGTTCGGTTCTAATCCTTTAAATCGGATTACGATATAAATAAAATCGTCATGAATGGATAATCGTCTCTGTCACTTTCCATCGAAATTACATCACTACTATTCTCACTTTTTCAGCCGTACTGTATTATATAAATATATATTTAAGAAAAATGTCCTTATATGTTTACCGTTGTACAATCATCCTGAGTGTCTGCTGAAAATGTACTTTCGATATTACTGTACTCTACTGTGCGAAAGTGAAGGAAAAGTTCTTTATAAGATATACTGTCACAAATTCTTATCATATACATAAGAAGCTCAATTTTTCGAAGCTTATGTCAGATTACATTTATAAAATGAAAACCGACCTGACTTATTTGACGTTTATGCCAGAAATTGAACTCTTCAGAGAAGAGAAACTTTCGGTCATTTTAAGTAACAACTCATGCAACAGTTAACTGTTGTTATGTTTTTATGTGTACAAAAAACTCGTTACAATTCTCTTTAATCAACAGACACACCTATTGATGGACCTGAATTTGCCTTGCATCATACGATTATAACCAAGAAGAGCCTCACTTAATATCTTTATTATCAAGAGATCTAAAAGTGCAAAAGGCCACATTCGTCCTGCCAATATCGGATAGGGAGTTTACTTTACTTGTAATTTTAAAATAAGATGAATGGAATGTTTTCCTGTGTAACAGATTTCGAGAAGTTTTCAAAGATAAACCTCCCGTCTCCTCGTTCATCGTAAAAAGTAAATAATGTATTCTAAATGTGACATGTAATCAATATTTTTCTTGTAATGTACTCTCGATCCAATCATAATTTAATTAATAAAATAAAGAGCAACTTATTTACATCAGTAACTCGATGTTTTTTATCTGATCGAAATTCTTTTTCTTTCTTTATTATATCTATACTTAATATCACATTGTACCACAATCACTATATGTTATAATATCAAAGATATGAAATTATTTTATGAAATTATTACTTAGAAACACTTTTCTCTGATCAGAATACCAAAGCATATTGACGGTGACAAATTTTCAATTTCAGGTCATTTCAGATAATCTCTCATACATATGCAAAAAAATGTAAAAATGAATCTATAATCATTGTAAGCAGGACAATGGTATGAAAATGTTATACTTTCAAACTATTAATTGGTGATCGCTAATCGGAAGAATTGTTTATTAACTTTAATGTACTGCAGTTAACTGTAGTGTAATTAATTAACTACAAGTAATTAGTTTTGAATAAATATATCTTAAACTAAAGAAAGAAAGAATACAAATATGCCAAAATTTTGCGTTTTATGGAGACTCTGTTGTTAAAATTTTAACTTTATATTTTTTATTAAATCATCCACTACTGCGATATCAACAAAATTTTTTAAATCTTTTTGTCGAACAGAAAGAGTTATACTCGCAACATTCTCGTGCCACTGGGTTTTCAATAATACACAGCAACCTTTACCTGCAAGGAATTTGTATTAAAATGGTGAATGCGTAATACTTAAATTAGATTATAGAATTATAAAGAATGCATACTAATTAGTCCTCGTTCATGAGCTGCAGCTAATTGATTAACAACACGCCTTTCTACTTCATACTTGATGGATCGAGCGCCATAATGAACATCGTATCCATCCGCTAATACTGATAGTACCTCTCTGTCCCACTTCAATTCAATCATGTGTCTCTCTTTGGCACGTGTAGCCCAAGCCTCCAATTCTCGTGTGACTAATTTTAATAATTCCGCCCGAGAAAATGGCAGAAAATATACAATCTCATTTATTCTTCCTAGAAATTCGTCCCTTCGAAAATGCGCTTTCAATATTGGACGTACCTGTGAAGAGATTTTATTATACTGTTGTACTGCATGTGTGATTCTAAAGTATACATAAAAAATATTTGTTTCCATTTCTCATACCACTTGATCCTTAAATTTGCGAGAGATTTCAATACGTTCTGGCTCCTGATCTTCATCAGAAGTGTTTTCTAATCTATGTTTTAACAGTTTTGCAGATTCTGCTCTGAGTTGTATTGCATGCTCAGCAATTTCTTTGTTTCCTAAATTTGATGTCATTATGAAAATAGCCTCTTTACATTCGATCGTTTTTCCTTTACCATCGGTCAGCCTTCCCTTTAAAGCGAAACAATGCTCTGCATAATTAGAAGCTGCCAAGACAGGACGAGTGATGCAGGCGATAAATAAATACCTCATCAAAAAGTTGTAACAACACAGTTAAAACGTCGGGATGCGCTTTGTCAACCTCATCGAATAATACCACGGCAGTAGGACATTGTTTTAGAAGTTTCGTCAACTGGCCACCACTATCATGTCCTATATATCTAGGTAACAAGTTTAACTATTAATACTACTTAATATTGAATTTTGCATATAAAAATATAAAAATCCTGAAATTGAAATGAAACCGTAATAGCAAGTAAAAGATTTATACCCCGGCGGTGCGCCAATTAATTTTGCAGCTTCATGCTTCTCCTGATATTCAGACATGTCCAATCGAATAAAACTATTTGTTTTATTTTTGTGAATATAAGCTGCTAACTGCTTAGCCAATTCCGTCTTACCAATGCCTGATGAACCCAAGAAGAGGAATACTAGTGGATGCTCTTCATCTATCCAACCATTTTCTTTCCTTCTGATAGCTAATAATAACAATATTTTCAATTACATTATCTCGTTACATGTTTTCAATTACATTATCTCATAATAAATATAACGAAATCATCTTACTAGAAGCAACAATAGAAATTGGTCCTTCTTGTCCTACAATATGCTGCTTCAAACGTTGCTCCAGTGGAAATCTACGTCGTTCCTCTGCTTCCTAGGTGAGACATTTCAAAGTATAGGTAATTACCTTCTTTTTTCTTCCATTTTACATGCATGTTGCATATATATAGAAAAAACCAAGTAGTAGTATATACTTTTTCTTTCAACAATTCATCATATTTAATAGTATACTCAGTAAGCATTTCTTTGATTTCTTCTTTAGCATATTCAATCGCTCGATGTCCTGCTTCATTCTCTATTGTTGGGTCTATTCCTTTATCCAACAATATCTTCACACATGCTTTTGAATCAGCCAGCACAGCGTAGTGTAATGCTGTGAAACCTTGAAAAGTAGCTGCATTGTTTAGTCTGCTGGAAAATTCTTCTTCTCTCTTCATAAGAACTAAAATTAAAATAAAAAATTATTATTTAATAACCTAAACTCTATATTTAAAAATTTACACAGTCCCATATTACTGTTTAAAAACATACCTTGTAATATTTAGATTTTTATCTCAAAATATTTTCAAAAATCTAACTTTAGTAAATGTCATAGTAGCATTAGGATGTCCTATATTCTTAAATAATGTATTGTATGTTGCTAGTTACTTTAATATATATTAGTTTTTATATTGGATATAAGTAATACCTTCCATAAAATTCATGCCTTTCTTCGTAGAAAGTCTATTCACATTAGTAAATTCATCTCCTGCATTTATATCAGCACCATTATCCAACAGAATTTTTAGAATCTCAGCTTGTCCATTTATAGCAGCAACCTGCAATGCTGTCCAACCCAATGAATGCCTGCTATTTACATTGACGCCATTCGCTATAGCCTGAAATATATAGCATTATTGTGATATTACTTTATTTTTATAATGATATATTTATATATTCTTTTTTAATTAAAATAATATGTACATTTTCAATACTACTAGATGACTCAGTTAATTTTTGAATTTAGTTGATATATACTTTCAGATTTGACCAAGATCTAAAAATATAAACCAGTCAGATCCAAAAAGTCTAAATATTTAATGACTAATTATAGTACTGAATCCAATGATACTAATATTACTTCTTATCTGAGTAAATAATAAACCAAAAATTAACTGTGGAAATTATAATTTTGAATTAATTTTGTGAACATCAATATATATATATATGACAGTTTTAAATTGTTTATATTTTGATGTTATTTCATAGAAAACTTATTCTTATAGAAAACTTACTTTCTTCAGTTCCAGAACATTACCATATTGGGCAGCATGCAGAAATTTTTCCTCTGTAATGAGTCATACAGTTATATTTACTCACAGATGGATATATAAAGAACTATATATTTATATTTTATACATAATACATAATAATAAATATATATACATATACCTTTATAAGGTGAATAATCACAAGACACCGCTATGAGCCCAAAACTACCCAAAAGCATTTGAAGATATTTGAAACGTTTTTTATTAGACTTAATGCCACATCTTAATGTCACATATTTTTCTCTTGCGATTGTTGCTACTGTTAGTGGATGAGTAGGAAATATTCTATTCAATAATCCATTTAGCGGATAAGTGCACATGCAGGCACGACTTGTATGAGGCGTATTTTTTAATCTATTTGTGAAATATAATTTACTAGAAAGCGCGGCCGATGTTTTTGTGCTATTCAGTATTGAATATAATTTCAAACTGCACAAGCGTGACATTTTGCACAGCAGTTCACGAACCTCCGCGAGGTTATGTTACAGGCCGATTGTTGCGAGACGTGAAGCGTGAGCGACACGCGAAGAACCACTGTAAATGTGTGTGTGTGTGTGAGCGCGGATCGATTTTCTCACTACTATAAGATTCAATGATCAGATATAACAGATAGTTGCTATAACAACGCGCTTTATTTCCCGTTGACTTATATTTATGTAAAAACGTCGACACAACATTCGATCGATGTTACTCGCTACTCGGAGTTCGAATCGAAACATTTCGCTTCAAAGTCGTTTTTCGCTAGTGATTAGGAATGCATTCCGTTTCACGCATAGGCGCGCATTTATCTATAGTTTATGTCACGTATACTATAAACAATGCGCGCATATGCGTGAAACGGAACGCACCCTAGCTTTGTCCTTTTTCGAAGGACTTTTGAAATTAGTGCAATAAGTTAGTGCGAAATAAATATATTTTCTTTCAATCTAACCTTATATTGTACTAACGTGCATTAATTCAGTTTGTATTAATTGCGTATGCATTAATTCAGTTCTTCTTCTTCAAAAGAAAACAAACCCGGGCCTATCATATATATAAGGCGTTTAGCATGACGAAAAGTATTGCGAAAATTCGTCAGAAAGTTTAGAAGCTAGATGGCATCGTTCAAAATCGTCCAGGTTGTCTTTCTTGCAAACAATACAAGCTTTTGTACTGTTTTTTTCACTTTTTATTGTATGAAAATTTTCTTACTCGTTTATTACTGTATCAATTTTGTATACCAAAGAGGTCAGACCCGTATGTTATTAATAAATAAATAAATAAACAAGCGGCTTGCACGTGGCATATCACAGGGTGATGCGTTTTAAAACAGATGTAATTTGATAAATACCCATTGGAGATGCATGTCTTCATTGAATTTTATTTATATCCACCTATCAAAGTGTCATTGATATTGCACAACTTCTAATGTAACCTTTATTTCCTTTTCTAATATATTTCTATAAGGGCCGGCTTCTTCCAACTTCTTGGTAACTTCTTGGTAAGTTAACTGATAGTTAAATCATATATTTATCTCTGGTTTTTCTCTCAATTTAGACAAAGACAGACATATGATTTAATTATCAGTTAACTTACAAAGAAGTTGGAACAATCGGCCCTAAGATACGATTAGTACATAGATATAGCAAAAGATTAACACAAAAAGGTCATTATAAAAAGAAAAGAGAGAGAGAGAGAGAGAGAGAGAGAGAGGGAGAGAGAGAGAGAGAGAGAGGGAGATGGAGAAATTGGTAAAATTGATAAAATTTGCAATGTCTCGCGTCGATCATCGGCGAAAGCGCAACTTTCGGGAACGTTCCCGACACTCGATTTTTCGTCATTCGTGCATGAAGCTTTTATCCGAGTAAGGTTCGTTTAAATTCAACCCGTCGCGCGGCTTTACGGGCGTATTAATTTCGCGCTTTGCTAGATTGCAATCTGTTCGTCGAAACGTGAATTGCAAATTGTTTGGCGCGCGCGAGAAGCCCTACGGCGTGAATACGGTGGCGGCGGGTCGACAGTTCGATATTTCGAGAAAGCGCGCGTCCGGATGCGGATCTAGTGGAATTGGCCAATCTCGCGAATTTCCAGAATATTCCAGATCGCGCGATGCACCAATCAGCGCGGCCGCCAGCCGCGCCATGATTGGTCAGTTTTGAAGCGACCTCAGCAGAAGGTAGTGCTTGCGCTGACGAGATCATTTCTTTCGAGGCATCGCGTGCGAGCGTATCATCGCTGACTCTCACTCGTGATTGCGAGTCGCGGCGAAATTAATCGCATCGTTTCAACGTAATCCTGCTGCTCCCTCCAGCACGGTACTCCGCTACCGCGTAAGATTCACGTCTAAGTGAGACGGGCAGGCGCCTCTCTTGACGAGAACAGCCAGAAATCCAGCCCGGTGCCACAGAGGAAGTGTCGATTCGGCCCCAACACACATCAGCCATGGCTGCGATGTCTGTGATCGGAATCGACTTCGGGAACGACAACTGCTATGTGGCCGTAGCACGCGCGGGTGGCATTGAGACTGTAACGAACGACTATAGCCTTCGCAATACGCCGTAAGTTGCAACCTCACTGGCCAAGTCCGTCGTATCGACGGTCCGTCGATATTCCTTCGTCTCGGGCCTAACCGGCGAACCTTCGCCGCGGCCTTCGCTTTGCGATTTTATGTCCCGTAGCCGCGAACATGAATCACCTCTAACCTGAATTTGGCTAATCCTTTCTCCCTTTTTTCCGCTTACGCTTCTGCTGCTGGCGTGTCGGCGTATGATCCAGCGAGAGCACCGTCGTCGTTGGTGACGGCGATCCTGTATGACCGAATCGTCGCCGATGTAATCTTGCGGTTATTTCGAGTTTTTCGATTTTTTCGGAAACAATTTTGACCGGAAATACCATACCCTTCATTGTGCCGAATGGGGAGAAAAAAATTTTATTTTTGCTACGGAATGTGCTAGGCCATCGCGTACCGACATAAAGATCATTTTCGCGTGCCATTGTCGCGCGAGTCTCGACACAATTGATCCAACGGCACGTTTCTTTCGTTATTTCAATGAAATATCAATGGTGCATAACGTAGCATAACGACGGATGTTCGCGTGCGAATATGCGCGCAGATTATCATACTCGAGGGAACGTCGGTCACATTGCCATTTACAGGCATCTCATTGCCAATACCGCTGTCACACGCATGTTCACGTGTTTTCGGATGTATCCCTAAAAAGTCCCGCTTCGCTTGCGCGCGTTTCTGCCTGTTTCTTTGCTTTCTCTTTAGGATGCAGTTGCGCTTATATTTTTATCCTCCGTAGCCATTGTGACCGATGATGTTTTTCCTTTGCGTTAGCAATTAATTAAATCATCCACAATGCACCTGTGGAACTATTCTCGCTTATTAAAATTCTTCAGGCTACATGAGCATTTCTTAAAAAAATTGGGAATTTGAGACATTTATACAAACGCTCTGGGAATTTTGTAATTAATTTCTAAGCAATTTCTAATGTTTTTGGTATTTAATATTATATACTTACATATGTGAATTATATATATATATATTATTTCTATATATTACATATATTTCTTATACATCAAAATTTGTGATTGTTTCTTTTAATTTGTATATTTCTGTAAGTCTTTAAATATATATTAAATATTCATGTTGTAATGAAATAATTTATACTTTAGTTTGGATAAGTGAATAAATAAATATATATATATATACATATATATATATGATGTAGTTTTTACTTATCTAAACATAGATTGAGTCAATGAAATCTAGATCTACAAGTATATATATATATATGTGTGTGTGTGTGTGTGTTTGTGTGTATGTGTGTGTGTGTTTGTGTGTGGATGTGTGTGTGTGTGTGTGTGTGTGTATAAAAGCATGATAAAGTAATTGTATCATAAATGTCAGACAAGCAAAAAGTATACAAGTAACTACATGAATTAGGTCATCTTACCTGCTGCAGAATTATGAAAACTCAAATATCATCAAGAAGAATAAACAATTTCATTATATATGTATATTAATTCCCAGGTCATGTGTTGCATTCAGTGGAAAAAATCGAATTCTTGGTGTAGCAGCCAAGAACCAGATGGTGACTAACATGAAAAATACCATTTATGATTTCAAAAGGCTACTGGGTAGAAAATATAATGATCCACAAGTTCAATGTGAGCGACAAACTCTACCTTTTAAAATGACTCAACAAAGTGATGGAAGTATTGGCATACATGTAAGTATGGTGTTGTTGAGTAAAAGAGAGAATGAATTTGTAAATTATTTCCATAATAGTGAAGGAAATATGATGAAGATATGATATCATGTTTATTATCACAATAAAGAATGTAAAAGTATAATTATTTCCTACATAAAAATCTTCACTTGTATTATATATGTGTGTATATGTATATATAAGAAAATTATTTAGTGGTAATTTTTAATATCCTCTGAATGTTGAAATTGAAAGAAAATTTGTGTAATATTTCAACCGTAGCTATTTTCCGCATAATTCAAGAATTGAAAGTAATTTAGGCATTTTGCCAGGACTCTCTGATTTCTGGAGACTCATATCTTATTTATATCTTTTTAGAATGCTGTGACACATACTAGAGATACATTAACGTCACTTGCACCATGTAGAATCAAGAGTGTACTGCTGAAAAGCACATTTAAATGACACAATAATAATGACAAATTATTTCTCATGATCTTACTTCTCTGTATTGTTGAACACTCGTCCAAATGTTTATTTCTGTTTCAGGTACAATATCTGGGAGAAGAACATGTCTTTTCGCCGGAACAAATTACCGCTATGCTTTTTACAAAACTGAAAGATATTTCTGAAACAGCGCTGCAAACTGCTGTTAATGATTGTGTTATATCAGTTCCTTCATACTTTACTCAAGCTGAGCGTCAAGCTCTACTTGATGCTGCTAAAATTGCAGGCCTTAATGTTTTAAGATTATTTAACGAAACCACCGCCACTGCACTTTGTTATGGTATTTATAAACAGGATTTGCCAGCAACAGATGCGTCTCCAAGGAATATCGTTTTCGTGGATTGTGGCCAAGCTGGCTTGCAAGTGAGCATTTGTGCCTTTCATAAGGGCAAACTTAAGGTCAGTATTATTTGATTGTTCATTAATACGAAAATATTAACATTTTGTATTGTATATTCTACTCGAAAGTGCTTAATTCTGTTTACCATTAAAGATGCTGTCAAGTGCTGCTGATAGTCAATTGGGTGGTAGGAATATCGACAGTATTTTGGCGGAACACTTTTGCCAGGTGTTTAAAAAGCGTTACAATATTGATGTACATACCAATCCACGGGCGTACTTAAGATTACTCTCGGAGGTGGAAAAACTGAAGAAACAGATGTCTGTTAATTCGACGACTCTTCCTCTAAATATCGAATGCTTTATGGACGAGAAAGATGTGCACGCTGAGATAAAGCGTACCGAGATGGAAGATTTGTGTAGCCATCTGATTAAACGTGTCGAGGCAACGTTTGTCCAATGCTTGGTTGATTCAAGTAAGTTCACGAGAGTAAATTCGCATCTCGTCAAAAGATACATGCTCTCTTCATGCGCTAATGATGTACTACGTATAATTCTTCAGAATTGAAACTCGAGGACATTCATGCAGTCGAGGTGGCAGGAGGATCGAGCCGCGTCCCTGCCATCAAACGTTTAGTAGAGGAAATTTTCGGTCGGCCAGTATCAACCACCTTGAATCAAGATGAGTCGGTTGCTCGTGGTTGTGCATTGCAGTGCGCTATGCTTAGTCCTGCTGTGCGTGTTCGCGAATTTTCAGTTACAGATATACAACCATATTCCCTAAAATTGACATGGGATGCTAATCAAGGTGAAGAAGGGTACGTTTTTCATTAATTTTTGTCATTGAAATTTTGTTTCTTGTCCATTTTTGACATTTTCTACTTTATATCTCAGGGAGATGGAAGTATTTGGACACAACCATCCTGTACCGTTCTCAAAAATGTTGACGTTCTATCGTTCGAATCCGTTTGTGCTTACCGCCAGTTACAGTTTACCGCCTCCTTATTATCCACAAACACGAATTGGTACGCAAATGTTTTATTCTAAGGAATTTCTCTCGTAAATTACTTTTTAACAAATTATGGAAATGATAGATCAGTATTTAAAAATAAACGCCTCCGTGCGTTTCACTTGTCTTCTGTATTCTATAATTTGTGTTTCATGTAGGAACGTTCATGATAAAGAATATAAAAGCTACGCCGGAGGGCGAGTCAGCGAAAGTTAAGGTGAAAGTGAGGGTAAATCTGAACGGCATCTTGACGATCTCGTCGGCATCGCTTATCGAGAAGCGTGAACCTACTCAACAAGAGAAAGAAGAGGAGGATGCCCAACAGCAGCAGCAGCAGCAGCAACAGAATAACATGGACATTGATCAGCAGCAGGAGAGAAAGGACAAACTCGATCAAGATGCGCAGGCAAATGAACCACCAGCAACAGAGGTTTGTAACAATATCGATGTGATATATTCTTGATTATGGCTCATGTGACAGATATCATGTAATATTACATATAACACCGATTTTGATTGAATATTATCATGCATCGTTAATATGATACATATATATATATATATATATATATATAAATTTGATATGAAATTTTCTCTATGCTGGTGCAACATGTATACTAGTACAGCGTTCAGGTGCATGATTATAAGTTTGTTATGGTTTAGGTGAGCATGGATAAAACACGAAGGAACTCAGATGCTGATGACGGTGGAAGAGGCGCTAGGGGTTCTGCCCCTTCTTACTCCTCCAGGATTCTCTCTTGGTTCAGCTCGGTATGGGGCATACTATCTCTACTTGGACCCATACGCATATGTTGAGATTGACGCATATTTTGCGCTAAATTCTAAGCTTAATCGTTGCATCGTTGTTACCTTGCAACAATTATCGTGAGCATCTCTCTCATGTTTAGGGCCATGATGATTTAAGTATTCTCTCCCTTTTACCACGCTAAGCTTTGTCGTTCACCTTGAAGCGGAAATCAATCTGACGCAATCCTCATGCAACAATGAGTGCACAATAATCGCAACCGCCTTACATAACGCAAATGACACACACTCATCGTCGTCGGTTTAGTACACTAAACACATCTTCACATTTTATTTCTAGCCTTTTAATTTCATTGACATCTCTCGCTCTTCTATTGGTCTTCTTCCGCTTCCGGGGCCGTTCTCGATAACATTTTTTTAACAGATATTGCCTTCAATACTATACCTTCATTCACCCCTCTTCGTAACGCCAATTCATATTTCACGCAATTCTTTCATATTTTAGGACTTATAAAATTGCATTATCATCATCTCATGTATATTAATTTTTCTTAAGATACGAGTAGATGTACTGCAAGCTGTTTTATTGTGAGGTAAATTAGAAGCCCGTAGAGTATTGTGATTATCAGTTCTATTGAATGCATGACGTTTGGTTAAACGTAGAGTTTAAACCCTGTGTCGATTTCTTCTGCAAACTCGGCTATCCAGCGGCATTATAAAAATGTAGATAAAGATCGGCTTGCTTTTTTATGAGACATAATGTAAGATCGCAGTATACGATAGATTCGTATGATAGTCTATGATATTGTTTGATTCCGTAACAATCGTTTTGCTATAAATGCATATGGGTCCAAGAACAGCTGTGTCACGCCGTGCTGTCTGTCTTTGCTCTGCTATTCTACTCACTGAGTCGCAGAAGGAAAAGAGACAGTGATATTTCATAGAAAGATAGTATTTTTATCCAGCAGCATAGATGAATATTCCTAAGCTGTAAAGGCAGGCACGCTGAGCAGTTTTCCATTCGTATGGAAGAATACGTAACAATATGTACTTGTCGTGTTATATACGTGCAAGTGTAGATTGCAAAATTTAGTTTATAACATTGTTATTTTATCTGTTACGTGTGTGACGATGTAATGTGTAATACGAATTGAAAACTGTACACACAAAAGTGTATACCCCATTATCTTTTTTGCCTCATCTTTGTCATCACCTGAAGAATTCCAATTCTTCTCTTTGTATAAACTTGGTTTAGAATATTTCTAGCGTTAAAGAAAAAGATCTAGTTAAATGTCGGTGTTATAAAATCGCGCATCTGAAAGTGGTTATAAAATTATTAGGGACTAGAGGAAAGAAAGTATTGGAGCAAGGTAAGTGTTTGTGAGATGAAAAAGGTCCCTTTTTGTAGGAAATATATTGCACAATGTGGAAGACCGATTTGCATGTGAAAAGAAGGTAAAAGGTGAAAAATGTGTCACTACACCAAGCAAATTGAAAATAGACCGACAATATGACGAAATAATAAACTTTCCTGTAAACGAACTTTTTTTTATAAACTTGTACAAAACAATATCGAGGAATATGTCGGTTAATGTTTGATAAATCTTTTGTTTCAGGGTGACGATAAAGGCGATGAAAAGGGCAAGAAAAAGGTTTCTGTTCGTACGATTGATTTACCTATTGAGACTAATATTTGTGGGCTTTCACTGCGAGATCTTGACGCCGCGATGGAAAAAGAGGTAAAGTAATCATTCAGCGTGCGCAGCTCGAATATTACATAACGCGCAAATTACCTGTTTTTCTTCAATTGAAGCAATAAGAAAAACTTCTCAAGGTATATCAGATCGTTACATAATTTCATACATTTTACAAACAGGGCAAAATGATCGCGGAAGATAGACAAGAAAAAGAACGTGTTGACGTGCGTAATGCTTTGGAAGAGTACGTTTATGATCTACGTTCTAAACTATCTGAAGAAGATCAATTAGCTACATTTATCACGGAAGCAGATAAGGAGGCTCTTTGTCGTACGTTAGACGATACTGAAATTTGGCTCTACGAGGAAGGAGAGGATTGTCAGCGACAGGTCTATTCCGAGCGACTAACGCGCTTGAAAGTATGTTGTTCAAAATGAGTTCGTTGCTGATATAATTCAATGGTTTATGCGCGCTGAATGTTTCTTCTCAAGCTGCTGCTTTTTCTTATTAGTCTCAAGGTGAGCCGATAAAGGAAAGGAGATCAGAGTTTGAGGGGCGATCGTATGCATTGGAGGAATTAGGAGGAGCATTGCAACTAGCTAAGAAGGGTTTGGATCAGATCAAATTGGCGAATCCGAAGGATGATAAATATTCTCACTTGACGGAAGAGGAAGTGAAGAAAATTGAGAAAGCGGTGCAAGAGAAGTGGACGTGGTTGGAAGATAAGCGTATACTGCTCGCGGGTACATCACGCACGCAACAACCACCGGTCACCGTGGCACAGATTCGGGCCGAGAAACAAGTAAGCGTCGAGGAAAAATCGATTTTTCTTTTTGTAAACATTTTTCTCAAATGTACCTTATCTTCTCATCTTCCCTATTTGTTGCTACGCAGGCATTGGACAATGTGGTACTACCTATCCTCAACAAGCCTAAACCTAAAGCAGAACCACCAAAAGAAGAGAAACCAAAAGACAAGGATGCTGACGAACAGAAGATGAATAATCAAAATAGCCAAGCTAATGCTCACAACCACACCAATCAACAGACAGAGCAAGAGGAAAAGATGGACGTTGAGTAACGTCACCATAGCTTATGTTATGTTGATGTTTTAATATTATTAAATCTACCATAATTCGCAAAAATAGTGAATATTTCATTTGGGTAACTGTGTTTACCGTGTCACAAAAGCGCCTGCATATATTCGGAATTCTTGCACACACATGATTATGTCAACGTGTCTCTTTCCTCTTTTTCTCTTCTATAATGCTTGTTTCATAACTTATATTACCACGCAAGTAAATGTATCGAAAGTTAAAGTATTTACGGAAGGATATGCGTCACAAAATCTATTTTTGTTTGAATGCAGCTTTTTCCGACACACGTGATAACAATTGTTATTTGGACAAGCATAACATCTTGAGAGGCCAAATTAAGCTTTCTTTTAAAAGTCTTTGATTTTTTTTCCAAGTTTTCAATACTTTTCTAAGTAATTAGATCTGTTTTGGACGAATACTAGAAAAAGATACTTAAAGCTATTGCCAATAGGAATAATTAATACGTTGCGACTTTCACATTGCTACTCACATAATGCTCGAATATTAAGTTAAATTTCTAATGACTAAAATTATGAGACTAGGTAATGTCGCTGGCGATTGTATTTAATATTACAGTTGTTCATTCCAACATTTTTTCATGGCTGACAGCAGTCTTTTTTTTTACATTTACAGTAATTAAATAAATGAACATTTCACCGATTGAAATCACTAAATTTGCTTTGACATTTAAAACGTTTGAGCATCGATGAAGATATTAGAAAAATTGACTGCAATTGTTCAGTTCCGAGATTGTTGCGATTCGAATTATTTTTCTCTAGCAAAAGTCATTTTCTAAGCGAAAAGTGAAATTTTATCTAGATATACCATTGTACATAACTTGTAGACATCTACATAATGACAGTATATTTCTTTATCCCAATCATATTTATATTGCTATGCTACTCGTCACAACATACAGGAAGTCATATTGGAAATTTAGTTGTTCCTAGAATACACAAGAATAGAAAGTCCATATTTCACTCTTGTGCCTAACTTTGCTTTTAGCACCTAAGTGTCAAGATTTAATCATTATATATGTATAATGTAGCTACATTAGCAAAATGTAAAAAAATTTGTTAGATAGACAAAATGTAAGAGATGGTTTAGACACTTTATTTTATTGAGCGATAAAAATTTCCAACATAAGTCTTTTTTCTTTTTTTATTTTAAATTCTACATAAATATACAAATTATTCTAGCGCATTTTGCAATTCTGTATATCCCAAGATAAATTTACAGCGTACAGACCATTATATTTATTTTTAAGACATTTCTGCTAGAGACCCGACATTTATCCAATAGATGTATTTTTCATCGATGTTTTGGAATTAAATACTAATTAATAGCTTCCAGTGTCAGATATTTAAGTTCTTGTCAATTTAAAAAGAGATAAACGGTTATAAAAAAAATGAATTTAAAAATAATATATATTGCCTAGTTAATGTTTTTCTTTTCCTTTATATAGCTGTTTAATATTCCCATTTATTAAACATTTCTCATTAATCTATGTTATATTTATACTATATTTTCTTGTTTAGATTTAGATTTTTTGTTCAAGTATGTTGCATATAGATTGGCATAATATACGAAGTTATATTATTTTAAAGTTAAACGTGAATTTCTTATATGAAGAATTTTAGAATAGTATAACTTAATGTGTCAAAGCTATATGCTTATGTTTTGGACAAATATGATAAACATTTTAAAACTTGCTTTTTATAAATATAAACTTGAACAATAATTTCCAAAATAAAAACTGTTGGAAGGTGAAATATGGACACCTATCTTATCCTCATAAATCATACCAATCTTATCAACCTATGAATTTATATTGTAAAAATTTTACATTGCCCCAATTATTTTGTCATTTATTGTGCACAAAGATAGATGGACCATAATAATCTGTGCTTTTGGTAGAAAAATACCATATTTAGTAAGTGCACTGCACTACTTTATTGTATTTCTGTTATATGGAAATTGTAGTACAATTACACAAACATCAAATGGCATACTGAAGTATATATTGCAAACTTCACATGCTTGAATAAATTTTGGAATGTGAGTTATTTTAATAAGTTACTTTGATAATTATTTTCCACATAATTGTATAGCATAAACCATGTTGTATCTGTTACTTTTGTGAAATTGCAACTAGCTGTTATCTGACTTCTTGGCTAAAGTAAAAATAAGGCAAAATATATCAATAAATGCTGTTTATATACAGCGACTCTTGAAGTTTCTGATGAACAATGTCGAAAATAAATGTATTGACTGTGATTATGTCATAAATGATCACCAAGGTGTACTTAATAAAGAATTAATCTCTCTTAACTGATGTCCTGGACCGATCATCAAAGTACGCTCTGTATATAAAAGCTCCTAAAGCAATGTGTAACACTATAACTGCAACACCGGCAGAGTACACATTGCTTGGTACATTGTTGAGTCCCAATATACCTAAAGATAAGTTACAGAAGTTTCTTTAGTCAATTACTTAAAATTAGAATTCCTCAAAACAAAATTTTGCCTTGAAGAAAATATAGAAATATGACTCTTTTCTTAGTAATTATGTAATAATTTGTATAAGTTTAAGATCTTTTTTGTGTATATTCCATACCATCGAAGAAGAAGATCTTGCTTGTAAAGAATGATATAACAGGTAATGCAATTATTATCACACAATGATATAAAACTGTCTTGAATACTTGTAGTTCTGTCAACTCCTAAAATAAAAATAACCCAAGTTTATATGCTTTACTTAACAAGCTGATACATGTGAGTAAATATAGATGTTGAATCGTTAATATTAATATCAAGCTTACCTTTGTGTTTGACATGATTGCAATTACTATATCAAAATATGAGATAGAAAGTTACACCAAGGTCAATGTAAATATTTTCGCAATAAATCCTGCTGAGAAAGAGATGTACAGAATTTAATATTAATTCTATATAAGAAACGTATCTCTCGACTAGATATTTGTCAAATGCACACGTTTATTTCTTTACAATACGATGTATCTCTCTGTTACAAATCGTTGACTAGCAATATTCGCCAAATAATTCAGTATATACACGACTATACGTACACAACTACATAATTCCGATAAAGTTTCGGTAGTATTCCCCTACCATGACCCCTAACCATGACAATTACTTGTCGGTTACGAGAAATTGAGGTTATATCTTGTGATTGTCAACGACTCCGGCAGAGACGCTGCATGCGCTCCGTACCGCGGTGTCTTCGATTTTCATATCTAACAGTAATTATATGCACTGGCTTAGCGTTCGTATTTTGAGAAATCTCATTGCGTGTATGTGTGCAACATTTTAAGGCGCAGAGTTCTGCGACGGCAACGACAGCTGATCCATGTGATTATTTACCAGAAGAAAAATGAACGTTCGTTTACAATAGCGGTTGCACCTCGTTAACCGAAGAAGCTACGTTATTCTCTTCAAATATGGGATGTTGCTACAGTTTCTGTAAAGAGGACAGCGGTCCGCAGGTAATCAGCCGCAAGGCAAAATCGTATTTCCTGCTCATATTTCTCGTCTTATCACTGACGTTACACATACAGCCTCTCGCGCGACAACCGCGTGAATAATCGCGGGCAACACGCCTACTTTTTTTTTATTAGCGATTTTTATTGTGTATATGCGAGTTTCTTATATGAGGACATGTAATGACAATGATGACGATACAAAAGCAGAGACGCTTTTGTCGCACTTTTGTACTTATATTGTCTTATTCAGGGTGGAGAGGCAAACGAAAGAACACATTTGCTGGTAGATCCTGTTAGTAATAACACAAATATACCCAGAGTACAGAGGTGAGCCCTACTTATTTACTAAGCATATCTTATCATACCAAACATATCTTGCCTTATTGACCATACATATCTTACTTTGCACTCTTACAATTCTATATTGTAACATTATTATTATTCTATTTTGAACACACACACACACATATATAGGTAAGGTCAAATGAAACTTACTTTTATTTTAGTGATGACTATGTCAACCAGTATGCAAGCTCTGTGCCTAAGAAGACAGATGAACAAAGTGCATTAAATAGAATTTTACATGAAACTGCAGCGTAAGTAGTTTTTTCATACTGATGCAAAATTTCTTGATTTATGTCATATATTTTTGTTGGTATTTTAATTTTTTACACAAGTTTTTCTTTTTTTTTCATTAAACCATATTTTATATAATCAAAGTTATAATTTAACATGTTTGCTATCAATGTTACATGTATCAATTAACTTTCCTAAAATATTTTCTTTGCATATAATTAAAAAAATATGTGTGCACTATGTTGCATAAACATTTCAAAAGGCAATTATTGTAACAAGAGTTTTTAAATCCTACAGTAGCAAACTTGTTAATGTGACAAATCTTGTTCTCTTAAAACCTCTACTCATCCGATATCTTTTTTCTTGCAGCAATGTCATAGATGTGGGAGCGTTAGATTCACATAATTTAGAACAACATGAATATATGGATAGGGCACGCGCATATTCAAAGAGAATAGAGTCAGGAAGAATTATGCTTCCTGAAGTCTCATCCTTCTTCCTCAAGGACATACCAGCGCCAGAGCGAATATTAGCGGCTGAGCCCCTCACTAGTGGAGATCAAGAACTGGTAAGGAATATGAACAAATTACATACTTTTTCAATGTTGTCACAACAGATCTCAGAGCACAGATGCAATTTTGATACGATGAAACAAATTGTGCTTGCAGATTACAGAAATGCTCAACAAGGCTGTGACAGCACTAAACGAAGTAAAAGTTGAACATAAGGAGGACTTAGTAGTCCCATTTCTCTCGTGATCGATAATTATCTCTGATATTCACTTATAATCTCATCTCTCATCTGACTGGAGCTTCAACGTCGCGCTGCATTAAAGAGTATATATCTCTCAGAAAAAATATAAATCGGCCTAAGGCCAAATTGCAATTTTAGCCTTTGTTAAGAGAAGGAATCCATTGTAATGATTAAGATGTAGTATATTATACAAAATGTTACAATATACATATTACACTATATATATATATATATATTACAATATATATATATTACTATACTTGCTGTAAACCATGGCTTTGTCTGATCGTGGGTAGGTACCTCTCTCTTTTACTCTTGAAACTTAGGATTAAGAAGTGCGCCGTAAATCTCTCGCACAGTTTATTATCTCTCATAGTGCAGTTTTTATGTGAAAGATTACTTTGTTACCGTAGTTATTCTTTATTGGCATACATATATCCGTAAAGGCGAAAAATACTATTTTATCATTGTTCAATAAATACTATTGTCACAGACAACTGCAGTTTTCTGGCAGTCTGAGTCATTCTCTCACCGAAGGACACCGAGGAATTCCGGAGACTAAAGACCCTTGTAGTCGCATTCCAAATAGAACGTCTCGATTCGTTCCGACCGAACCCCGCGAGAAGAATTTATATGTCATTTTTGTTTATAACATATTGTTGCGCTCACTCTCGCACTCGCGCTTGCACTCAGGTAAATGAAAACACTCGCGTAAGAATAACAAGCTTTACTATATACAGCGCAGCTCACTCAAGCTTTAAACAAGAATAATTCTCTGATCTACAATTCTCGCGTCTGTCTACGATGACAGCTTGCCAGAGACTCTCTGTCAGCTGTTGTTGTTTTTTTCTTATCGATTTTCCGTCGTCCAGACAATCTTCGTTCAGTTGTCAAAATCAGCATCAGATGCCTAAGGCTCACAGACAACGGACGTTGCCACAAACCTTGTGGCTCGGACACGACAATATATTATCTGAAATTCCTGTTCTGTTTTTTTGTTTACTTTCTGTCTCAGGTTACAGTATATACTGTACCTGGGCTCGAGTGTAATCTATCATAAAACAAAACACAATGCTCAGGTCAATATCTTGACAGAATGTTCAAGGGTAAGAAAAAGGTTTCGAAGGTCTCGAAGAAAATACGGCAGTTGGATAAGAACGCAGGTAGAAAGTTGAAAAAGTTTTTAGAAAATGTCGAAGGAACATTTGTGTTTCTCACATAACCGTGACCGTCGTCATTAGCCGTGTCTTCGATTTGGACGAGACTTCGGGCTCGAAAACAAACGGATAAATTACGGGATAAAAGGCGCTGCGCAGAGAGCATCACCAAATTCGAAACGCGCGCCACGTCGGAGCGGCGTGGGGTTGAGCCGGGTTTCTTGATTGGCCATGTGCGTCGAGGCGCAGAGGGGCATCGACCGTTCTGGCGTCAGGCAGCGATCGGACTGGCAGAACTTGCCGTTCAGTGCCACCAATACACAAGTGCCGGGAGACTCTCTATCGCCGACCATTGGTCCTCAATTTGCCGACCAATCATTGGGAAAGTGCCTACGAAAATATCCAATGTAAGTTCTCAAATTATCAAACATCAGCCCGGCTCGCAGCATGACCGCGCGCCCGCGTCCGCGATTAACCCCGATTTCGCGACCGCGTAACCGCTGCCTTCGCCGCGCGCGCGAGCCCGCGCCTCTCTCTCGGCGACGAAAAAGCCGTCGCCGCACGGCCATGTTTGTCGAAAGGCGATATCACGTTCTCGCACGGGCTTCCGCGACGCCCGATGGCGCGAGAATTCGCGCGCGACGACGTCCCGTACGTGTGCGCTCGATCGAGCGGCGTCGTCGTGCATCCGCGTCCCGCCGCGTGCTTCCGACGATTACGTCGGGTCGCGCGGTTCGCGTCCCCGGGAGCGCGGCTGAGGAAGTCGAGCCACGGCGACGGGAAACGGTACTCTCGTTGGCCTCCGGCGGCGTATCGGTTTCGACGCGAGACTAGTCCGCTTGCTCGCACGCTCGCTCGTTCACCCGCTCGCTGGCTAGCTCGTTGGCTCGCTCGTCCTCTCGACCGTGGGCTTCGTTTGTAGTTCATCGCTCGTCGGCACACGGCACGGCCTCGATACGCGAGTCGCACGTGGATCGCGGAAGACTGTACCTTGTTATCGCCACGTTGGCGCCAATCGCACAAACACCTCACACACACATACACATACACACACACACATCGACCTCGGTACCTCGCTACTCGTCTTCCGGAGGCGCGTCTTGATCTTCCCGCATGTTTCGCTTAACGTTAAATCCACGTGCCACGAGCGCATAGAGAGATAATGAATGGGAGGACAATACGATTTTGTCGGTGCGTGAGTCATATCTAGATATCCTTACACTTATCCTTTTCACTGTTATACCTGTGAGATTTAATCACTTACTGTGTTGCAGTGAGACATCATCATGGAACAGCTTAGCGAAGGCCAAGCAGTTGTGGTGGGTGGTACTGGAGGGACAGTACAGGTTGTTCAGATGGGTCAGGGTGGTCAGGCTATGATGCTGCCGCAGGCTATACAGGTAGCAGCTCCCAATGGTCAGATCCAGGTTGTGCCAGTCTCCAGTCTGACGAGTACGGGTCAGCAGATAGTCATTCAGCAGCCTCAAACGCCTCAGATTATCCAGACACCTGATGGACAGACTTATATTTATCAGCCAGTTCAATTGGAAGGACAGGTTCAACAGGCACAACCGACAGGTTTGTGTACATCGAATATGTATTTTTGTTTCCTGACCTAGTATAAAAAAGACTTTATTCGTGAATATATTTTGAATTTACAGTAATAAATATCAATGGCAATCTCATGCAAATCGCTGGAACTACAGCGCAAGCTACCACCAACACAGCTACTACATCTCCAGTACAACCTCTGGCCAGTCCTACAGCAACAGTCTCACAGGCAGGGAATGTTGTTATGGTAATTGCGGAAGTTATATGTACAATCAATATATAAATACATATTATACTAACACGAAATGACCTTCAAAGGATGTACTAAATCAAAGTCACTTTGTTATGGATTGATTTCGATGTGTGGTTATTCCAATAACTACAATAGAAAGATGTACATATAATTGCTATTTGATTGGAAGAATAGGTTTGCGATTAATTAATTACATATTTTTCCACAAGTAGATGGTACCAGGAAATAGTGGGCAAACGCAGTTTCAAAGAGTGGCATTGCCGAATGCCGAGTTTCTCGAAGAAGAACCACTATATGTAAATGCTAAACAATACAGGCGTATACTGAAACGTCGGCAGGCGCGTGCGAAGCTAGAAGCTGAAGGAAAGATACCTAAAGAAAGACCAGTATGTGTTCTCAAATCTCCTCAAATTCTTTTCTCTTTGAATATTTAAAAGATGATTTTTCCATTTAATTGAACACATTCGTAAGCGGAAGTGGAAGCTTCAAAATTATTGCTGTTATAAATTTTATAACATATACATGATGTGAAGTCATATGTGTATATGTATTTGAGTGTGTGTATAATACACACACACACACGATATAGATATTTATATAATGGAATGATATAATCACATATACATATAATATTCGATAAATTATATAAATAATATTTATATTGTAAAGAAGAAAAATTTTCAATTTTACAGAAATATCTTCACGAATCCCGACATCGGCACGCGATGAATAGAATTCGCGGAGAGGGCGGCCGCTTCCATTCTGGTCAAGTGAAGAAGCGGAAGTAAGTCTCTTGTAAAAATGAGAAAGAAGCTGTGTCTCTCGATCATAATTTTGCGTAAGGATGTAATTATTTCATCACAGAGTTTCGCCAGAGCAAGTGCATACTTCATAATTATCTAAGCATATTGTGATTTCAGTCAGTACCAATCTACAGCAATAACAATCGAAATTAAAATATATATCACGAATTACAATGCTGATCTCTCAATCGGGATCTTCGCATCGATATAGGGTAGGATTTGTTTAATGTTACAAATATTTTAAGACAATAAATAGATCCAATCAAATTGCTTTATTTGACACTTTAAAGTATTTGTAATATTGAGCGAATGCTGCTTACAATTTAACCAAAATAATTATTTCTAATTAGCTATTTTTCTTCCATTGTCGGTACTGATATTGTCAGTATTGACTTTGCAGAAGAGTAAGTTGCATTTGCCATTTCTAATTATTTATTGAAGGAATGAAATAATTCCCTGCAAAATATGATCTCTGATGACAATATTGTCAAATAATTATTTACTGTAAATAATTAAATATAAATCAGATTGAAAGAGAAATAAATTTAAGAAATTTGTGTGCTTTATAGTTAAAGAAATGTAATGTTTGGTCGTTTAGTTATTGTGATTATATTGTGTATCTAGTTTTTTTTTTGTAAATAATTTTTATCCAAACGTGACACGTACGTGCATACAGAACTATAAAAATATCAATATTATATACAGAATGTTAAAAAAAAAACTTGGAAACTTAAAGAAAATTTAGTAATAAATTTGTATTTTTTAATAAACGCAGATTGTAATAGGATCCTTATTTGAAGTTAACCGCAAAATTATAAATTTATATGTATATATTATTAATATATATTATATTATATACTTTATAATATAATAATATATATATTATTAATATATATTATTAAACACACATTAGAGGGCAATAGGTTTAATATGATGAAAGTGGCTACCTCTGTTGGTATTTCTCTGTTGAGAAAAAATTATCAGTCTCTGAGTTAGCGAGAAAATTTGTAGTTTAACACAATATTTCTGAAGCATTCTGTATACATATACATATATATATATATTTATATATATATATATGTATATATATATATATATACACACACACATAGATATCATTAATCTCCCAGTATTTACACATTCATATGATAGTTTTATAGTAGTTTGATAGACATATAACACTTGCTTTACTTTACTAAAGCAATACATATACTCTGACTAAACAAATGGAAAATTAAGTTGTACCTGGAGAAATTGCAAATCACACAAATGATTTATATCACACACCTGATCATATTTTATATATGCACAAAGGTTAGTCACCGAGAACGTGTTGAATTTAACAAAATGGAGATACAGCTATCAATACTGTGAAGTGAGAGACTGAATTATAAATTATAATTTATAAATTATTAGTTACGTACGCGAGGAATTCGTTCCATAAATTGCATCAAGTTGTTTTTTTTAAAAGATATAAGTTGTAACGCGCCTTAAATCCATGTACAACATTTCGTTCTAAGAATAGTCAGAAGTAAAAAGATGTAGTAAAAAAGATTATCAATCAATTAGCCTTTAAAGTACTTTGTAATGGTGAGAATCTTTGGGAAAATGTTTTTTGTTACGACATATCTTTCTCATGCAAGAGAAAAATTTATTTGATGATAGCCAGATGATAAAAGTTCTTTTTTTATACTATCGCTTGTATTTTGAAAAATTCAACGAGAAAGGTATCCGCATCTTTTTACTTCCGGCTATACCGGATGTCATTTGATTGAGTCTATATCACTTTATGTAAAATGATAATTATACTGTTAGGGTACAAAATGGATATTTGCGCAGCAACGTATATGATCTCTCGTGACCAGAGGAATTTCGTAAATATTTGGCAGATAAGCAATTCCCACGCATGTACACGTACTTTAAGAAAGCAATGTTTTATGGTGCAAAAGCTTTTGCTTTGTTTCATCATCTTGCGTATCATGAGATATTTAATGAATATAAACAATTTAATATAGGCAAATTTGTTACTCATATGTAGGCACCTGAGGAAACAATTAAAGAAACGTCTACTTGCAGGATCTCGGCATATGGTTGGACGTAAACACACAAACACATATAACAATATATAGATAAAACTATAAAAATACACTACAAGTCAATACACAGTCTGCGACTTGGTCGCGAATAAGTCTAGGTAAAAAATCATGCCTTCATCGCGGAATACGCCTTAACGTCTAGTGTTCCCAATACTCCCCGAGAAATCGCTAGGAAGAATTGTTATATAGAGTTTTGGAAAATTTAAGACTTTCCTGGGTACCTACGTATCAAATTTGAGGTATTTATATTTGCTAGCGCATATTTTCTAAAGTGAGTGCGGATGAGTGCGTGTGTGCATGCATGCGTGCGTCTGTATTCTACATCGGATGTGTAAATAATTATACGAAAGTAAGCACGGTTGCCGTCTGTTTCGGCGTAGACATGCGTGTGGTGTGAACATGAGAGATTTGTACAGTCGTGGTTGAGCGATTTAGCGAATAACTAATGTCGCCTGCAGCGGAAAAAAAATGTGGCGAAACGGAATGATGTGTGTATGAAAGAACATAAATTCTCTTTTCTACTAATATGCGTGTACTGCACATTTCATTTCACCGTCGACCAACTCCGTTGCATCCCTATGTGCGTGAATACGTCCCTTGACCACGTCCCTTGATCTGATTAGTAATTGAGTGACGTAAAATTACGATGAAAAAAGGACAAGAAAACCTTTGACTTTCTATCTTTGACGGTAAAGCGAAGTCCGCCTTAATATCCGTTAGCAATTCGACTCGGCCAGCTTGGAATCCTTCGACGACCTTTGTAACACTCAAAGAAAAGTATTCTATTTGTAAAGTGATTTTTCCCATAGTCTCATATTCTAAGCGAAGCCTTTTACAGAAAAAGGATTCCTCTTTCAATAAACCGATTAAAGTGAAGCATTCATCTAAAATTTATTAGATATTATTCTAACTGTGTTCTTCTTATTGAAATAAGGATTTCCTCTTATATCAATTAATTTTCCTCTTATATGAAGAGAAATATGTTGATTTGAATGTCGGCTTCTTTTGTTCAGTCATGCTCTACCTTCAGACATGAGCGAATAAATAACCATATGCTCATAGTTCAGAATATTTGGAACGTCTTTTAAAAAAGGTATGTGTGTTGCTGTACCATATAACGAAGATAACTTAGCTATATATTTGGTCAAATACAGTTTATAATTTATTGCAAGAACTTGAATAACGTATTCTTTCTTTTAACTATGTTTCATACAATTGGTTATGATGATCATCTTTGTAGCTACGAAGTTTATAACAAAACTGACTGGAGCCGGAAGTACATCTATATATATATATATATATATATATTACTTTTCGCTATACATTATAACAATTATTTTCAAATTAACTAGTATAACCAATGAGAATAAAATACAGAAAAAATAAATAATAATCCTCTTAAAAAAAGATTAAATAATCTGTATATAAGAGGAAATTTATGTTAAAATCAATGATTTACATTATACATGTAACATATAATCTCCCTAACTTTAAGAATATAATGTGTTTATAATATTTTTCTCTTAATCTTAGAGGAATCCTCTTGAGGCCATATATAAGAATAAAATCCTTTAAAATTTAGATGATTTCGCTTGTTTTGAAATTACTTTTTTTTGGGTGTTAATCCAACGCATTCTCTCGTCTCCGAGAGGCTCCGTAACGCAATTCTTCGTCCTGTACTTCCGATTGTGTCGATATACTCGGAATTCCCGGTACTGCGGAGAAGAGGAAGATGTCTCAAACTCTCAAAATTATGCGAGTAACGAAACGTTGATCCGGGAGAGTCGACGCGGCCGTCTCGATGAGTTCTTCTTACGTACGTAACACGAAGAATATCCCGTTCTTTGAGATTAGGAGCCAGATTGTTACGCGGTCGGGACATCTTCAGCGGCCTCATCAAGTTCCTCGTCATGATTACCTGCGGATCTCGGTATGCCCGTTTGTAAACCGTTTCAACTACGACCCAGTCCTTCGGTAACTCTTCGCCTTTGTCGAGGTGTAATCGCGACCGCAGGTATTTATCTGCGATGTGTTAATTGGGATGTTACTATTCAACGTCACAGAAAAGTAGAAATCTAAATATTGAATTAAGCGATTTGGTCGAACAGGGAAATCAAATCGACATCTTTCTCGGTAGCGCGATATAGACTGCCGCGCGAATATAATCGATGACGGAGATTATTAATGATCAATCGAACAGCAGTCCTTGCCAGGTTCTTTCCAGTAATCCAGTTGGTACGTGCTCCGTCTTAATTTGTCCTTCTCGCGTTCGATCAAATCTTCATTCGGCACGACGCGAGGTAAAGCGTTACTCAAATGAGGAAACTTGTCGCGCAGCTGTAATTTCACAAGAACATTTGATTGTTAAGAGGGTCAGTTGAGGATCAGTTCGGAGCATCAAAGTGCAAGTAAAAAATGTAAAAACTGAAGGGAAAGGATAAAAATAAAGAAAAAAAGAGTGACAAATGGCATACGTATTTTCCAAGACAAAACTCTCTAAACAGAAAATGAAAGATGAAGAAAAAGGTCAAAAGAAATAAAGGAAAGCGAGAAAAAGCGAGACTAAAAGGGAAAGACTTCTTTCCGAGTTAAAGATTTTACCTTATTCAAATAGTCTACCGGGTCTTCGCTTCGTTCGTTTTCAGGTAGTAAGTCATTTTCCCGTCGCGTATTCAAATACTGTTTGTATGGTTCATTCAAAACATTCAAGGATAATGGATAACGCAGCAACGGCTGGCTTGGCCTTTTGATCTTTTTCTCACGGTAATCTATTTTGTAGACGGTCGAGAAGTCTCGCGTATCCTTGTCGATCTCCAAGATCATTTCCGTTACATGCGATCGTTTCGGCTATTTATCAGGAAAATTTAGCGAGCGGTAGAAAAGAAAATAGCGTTCCTTAGAGTAGTTTGTGAACTGCGATTTCGTGTGATATCATTTCATGATTGACATGTGCGTTTTCAATCTTTGACGTGTCAACCAAGTCGTGAGAGAAAAGAAAAACACGATCAAGCATCGCGGTCGCAGCGCGACGCCGAGTACATATGAAACAATAGCGATCGTAGTAGCTTTTCCGGAATTTCAGGATCGATTGGTCTTCCGAGTCAAATATCTCAAGCATGGAAATTATAATAAAAAGTCTGATAACATTTTTCTTATATAATGTCTATCTCGCGCGTACTTTGCAACAAGCCCGATCAAGATTGGTGCAGGAAATACGGAGATCTCGAAATCTCACCTGCAAAAAGGTCCTTTTTTTCGTTAATAATTTCAAATTCAGATCTCACATATACGCACACAAGCAAAGCGAGTTTGTCCTAACCCTGGTATATATTTTTCTATTTTCGAAATAAAAAAGCCAAACGAATGCAATTAAATGTTATTTATCATCATTGAATATTAGATGAAAAGTAGAAAAGTTATTGTCCGTAGCGGATAATCTAACATTTAATAAGAACGAGACAAAATTCGCATGGGATGAAATTCCACTCTTTAACGCTACCATGACTTTTAATTATTCTCCGAAAACGGCGTCACAACAACTTTGACACTCTGTACAATTAGTTGCTAACATATTTTCTAATCGTACACATTTCTCTTTAATTAACATAAAGCTAACAAATGTCCGATGCTTCGACAGAGTAATTTTCTTTATTTTCAATAATGAAAAAAGAAAAGTACATCAATGTCGCGTACAGTTGAAAGGTCTCCTCGCATTCCCCTCGTCGTTCCGGAACCTTCGAGAAAAGAAGAGACGCCCAAGGGCAAGTCTCTCTTGCTTCAACCGCCGCCGAGGCCCGCAATGTTTACATCGCGCCGATTGTGTTGATCGGCTCACGAGCGACGACATTTTTTGCTCTTCGTATTAATCTTAGCGCGTCTCGTGTACTCGATCTCATTCCATCAGCAGCAGCCGTGCGCGACGCGCTCGTCACTTCCGTCTCGTGTAATTGAAAGAAATGTATCTCGTCGGTCCTCGAGATACTCAATCGGCATCGCGTTGATTAACCGCACGGTCGAATCGCGAGTATCGACATTAGAAATGTGAGCGAGTGAAATCCGGAGGATTTCCAGCAGCCGGGAAGCAGGACGCCGGCAGCGATACCAGTCACGTTTCCAGGTATGTGGAATCATTTATTATGCGGGAAGTCTCCCATAACGAGAGCGGACATTTGACGAATTTTCCGAGAATAAGAAGTCGGAATTTCGCGCTCGGCACTCACAATCCGTCATCATCCGACTAGTAATCATCACTTTATGAATTTGCAATTACTCTCGTCAATCTCTGTCTGTCTATCTATTTATTGCATTGTTGTATACAAAAGATATTGATCCAGACAGAGACGGATAACGGTCCATGAGCGCGGATTTCTAATTCATGTTCTCAATCAAACATTCTGAATAATTCCCAATTGTGTGAGTATACCGGTCTTGTGTAGAATATTCAACGTCATACCGCTTCTTAGACTGCGACCTTTTTTGTTTTCAGTCAGCGCTTCTTTCAAGTCTATTTACTCTCGTTACGGGATCTAAATTTAACTGTCACGGGGATCTAAATTTAACGTAACGGGGATCTAAATTTAACTGTCCATTCGTAAAAGAGTATTTTCGAGAGCACACAACTGTTGTCTCCGCTTCTTGTTGTCATTTTTTTTCGTCAGCTCTTTCAAGAGCTCCAAGTCCTATCTAGACTTTCAATGTCAATGAAGAAAAAAAAACCGTAGCGAATATTATCCCAACCAAACATTCCTTCTCTACCGCAACTTACCAACCAAGAACGCTAAATTTTTGTTCCAGACGTTGTGAGAAGCAAGTCCGGCGGACGCGGATGGCGCACCGGAGGATCCGGTTCGGGCAGAGCAGGGTCGGCCGGAAGGTAAAGTTTACAAGTTTCCTACACATCTGTGTTCAACTCTTTACGATCTTTGCCTTTGCAACTTGTTCCTCATCAGCTCTCTTGAAAGCTTCATGTCTCATTTAAATTTCCAATGTTGGAACAAAACTTTAAAGATAAAAATCCCATATCAAAATATTTCCGTATTTTCGATTCGTCTCGATCAAAGATATCCTCTCTCTACCGCAGATTATCAACTAGGACAACTACTTTTCTGTTTCAGTTATTGCGGAAAGCAACAACAATCCGGCAAATGCGGATGCCGTACCGGAGGATCCGGTTCGGGCCAAGGAGAGTCGGTCGAAAGGTAAAGTTTACAAGTTTCCTACACATCTGTGTTCAACCCTTTACGATCTTTGCCTTTGCAACTTGTTCTTCATCAGCTCTCTTGAAAGCTTAAAGTCTCATTTAAATTTTCAATGTTGGAACAACAATATAAAGATAAAAATTCCGTATCAAAATGTTTCCGTATTTTCGATTCGTCCCGATCAAAGATATTCTCTCTCTACCGCAGGTTATCAATCGGAAAAATTATTTTTCTGTTTCAGTTGTTGCGGAAAGCAACAGCAATCCGGCGGATGCGGATGCCGCATCGGAGGATCCGATTCGGGCCAAGCAGAGTCGGCTTGAAGGTAAGTTTACAAGTTTATTATAGTCCTCTGTTTGATCCTTGGCGATCTAGAGCTGGGATATAATTTCCGGCTCGAATTGAATTACGATCGCAGAGGGTAAACTACTCTTTTACTCGCCCGTACTCGTTGGTCAAATCTGATGAGCGAATGTGAATTTTTTGTTACAGAGTTGAAGCGGAACGTGGCCGGCTCTGACTGCAAGTCGTTTCGGTGAGTCAAAATGAAAAGAGAAACAAAATTCTGCATGACGGATGTGGGACTAAAAAATATCGTTCGAGTCAATGCGAATTGCAAATAGATTCTTGCATATGTGTGTTTGTGACGTTGAATAAAATACATTGCTCGAAACAATCAGGGAATTACTTCATCGATAGCCTGCATTACATACGAGATTTAAAATACCGAATGATTTTCTTTTGACGTTCAGTCATCTGAATAAGAGATATTCATATTTACAAACGCGATATCGTCATCAGCTACTTCATTTTCATTTTTCAAGCGGGCTGAAAAATTATTTAACGGAAATTATTTGACAATATTCAATTGTCCGTGTAAAATATATTCATACGCATAAATGCCGATACCGTTGGCTACTTTTCTTTTATTTCCAAAACAGGCTGTAGAATTATTTGGCAATATTGTCTATTTATCACGATCCCTATTGTCTCGAGTAGCGTATAAATATAAATATAATGCGCGCAGAAATAGCATCAGCGCACGCCGAGCTTGAGGTATCCTCGCTCGCGTGCCTTTGAATATCGCGACGCAGTTATCAATATACGCGTTTTTACCGCGCTAACAAAGAAAGCTTAAATTCTCATTTCGCCAAAGTATCGCGAACGTCGTGACGGAACTATCATGCGTGAAAACTTTACCCCGCTCTCTCTCTCTCTCTCTCTTTGCGCTCCCTCGGAGTGACCGGTTTCTGATTGTCTAATCCTTCCTCGCGTGCATTCGCGAATATTCTCGTAAATATCGATATTCCCGCATTTTCGCGACTTTTCAGACGCGATCGCGAAAAGCGCCGTAAAAATCCATTGGACGAGTGGATAAATTTTCTTGCTCCTCGCCGATCGAGTTTATAAAGTCCGTTTCGCAGCGCGTAAAAAGTTTCCGTCGATGTCGACGTAAAACGTTCGTTAATTGACGCAAATATCGCCGCTCTGATACAAGTATAGATCGCGTCGCGGAAGTGTGGCGAAAGTGTAGCAATCAACGTGGGACGCGCTGCAAGATGGATGCTGCGCGACATGGAGAGCGGCAGCGGACATGGACGGACATTGATGGATCTGGTTAGATGCAACAGGACATCATCAATATCATCATCGGTGAGCGTTTGATTCAATGCTCGCAGAGAGCTCTTTTATTATTACATTGTGCATGCCGCAAATTTGCATTGACTTTTGTAACGAAAAATATATTCCATGAATTATTACCATATATTATGGCCATATATTATTGCCATATATTATTGCCATATATTATTGCCATATATTGTTGCCATATATTATTGCCATATATTGTTGCCGTATATTATTGCCATATATTATTGCCACATATTGCCATGTATTATCGCCATATATTATGGCCACTTGAAATCGCGCGAACAATCAAGAAAACTGAATTTGCCGATAATCGCAAAGGCGCGCGGCAGACGTCACGGACGAATGACAGCAGCCCATCTCAGGGCTGCCCGATAACAATGCTCTTGCTGCAATTTAACTTTAAACCACAACAGCCTCCGGTCGCAGGAAACTTTTTATCGCGGACTAACCCCTCGAGCGGAATGTTCCCGAGAAACGCTCTTGACATAAATGCTGGTTATAAGTGAACTTGCCTCGTTAGGGCGTCGTCGCGGTGTCGTTGTCGCGGATAATAAGGAAGAAAGGAGTTAAACATCCGCACCGTTATGAAAAGAGGGCCGATGGCGTCCCTTCGCGAGTAGAATATTAGGTCCTTGCGAACGCGAGCGTTAAATTCCAGCGCGGCTGCGAACGTCCCCCGACTAATTTCTTCGCGGAAACTGAATCTTCATAACTCGCGCTTGATCGTGCGTTGAGACTCTATCGAGGGTGGGAGATTGAAGCGGGAGTTGATGATATAAGCGTGACAAAGTAGTCGCGCATTTTATGATCGCTCTTTAAAATAGGCGCTTCTTTCGTCGGTGATAAAGACAAGAAGAAATCAGAGCCTGCTCTGTCGGTGAGGTCGTAAAAACCGCATGGATTTTCTTTCCGTAGCTGCTCCCGCGACTGTTTCGTAATCCGCATTACGATCATTTTTACGGATAAGTATGGGGA